TCGAAACTGATTATTATAAAGTACTAGGTAAAATATATTGGTTTAATCAGAGAATAGGTAAACATAATGTCGATAATTTTTAAAATGGTATCGATCCCGAAAAATCGAATCCGATAATTATAATGTAGTAGGTAAATTTATAATGTAACCGGTAGAAATATACCATTTTAATTAGAAAATAGGTCAACATAATGTATCGATACCTTTTTAAATTGTGTCGATACTTTTTGTCCAGAATGAATGCCAAACGAGGCGCACATATAAAGTGTCGATACATTTATTAAAAATATTGATCCCAAAAACATCGAAACCGATAATTATAATGTAATAGATAAATTTACAATGTAACCGGTAGAAATATACCGGCTAATTAGAAAATAAGTCAACATAATGTATCTATACATTTTTAAATTGTGTTGATACTTTTTGTCCAGAATGAATGCAAAACAAGGTGCACACATAAAATGTCAATACATTTATTAAAAGTATCCACCCCAAAAATATCGAAACCGATAATTATAATGTAATAGGTAAATTTACAATGTAACCGGTAGAAATATACCGGTTAATTTGAAAATAGGTCAACATAATGTATCGATACTTTTTAAATTGCGTCGATACTTTTTGTCCATAATGAATGCCAAACGAGGTGCACACATAAAGTGTCGATACATTTATTAAATGTATCGACCCAAAGACATTGAAACCGATAATTATAAAGTAATAGGTAAATTTACAATGTAACCGGTAAGAATATACCAGTTTTATGACAGAATAGGTGAACATATTGTGTCGATACTTTTTTAAATTGTGTCGATACTTTTTGTCCAGAATGAATGCCAAAGGAGGTGCACGCATAAAGTGTCGATACATTTATTAAAAGTATCGATCCCAAAAACATTGAAACCGATAATTACAATGTAATAGGTAAATTTACAATGTAACTGGTAGAAATATACATGTTTAATTATAAAATAGGTCAACATAATGTATCGACACTTTTTAAATTTGTATCGATATTTTTTAATTACGCGCGTTTTTTTCCTTCATTATTTATATGTTAAAAGTGTCGATATAAACCCCAAATTGAAAAACCCTAAAAGCAGAAGAGAACTCTTCCACTCCGATGAATACCATCGTTCATAACAGTTACGATCAAATATTCATGTAAATTTATCGATATTTTGCCATAAATTAGGGTTTGATTGATTTCCAGATTGGACTCTTTTTTCCTTAATATATTCGAAAGATATGTTATCAAAACCCTAATTTTTTAGAATTTTAGTCTTCAGAAATAGGGGTTAGGTTTTAAAGTTTGCTATTTTCGAATGGACCTATTATAGGTTGAAAGTTCAATCTTTGTTAGCGAAGATGATGCCCTTCAAATGGAGCCCCAACGTATCAGCATTGAAGAAAATCGAAAGCAACCAATAAGTATCAATGTATTCATGTAATTGTTCTTGAAATGGTAATTGGATTAAGGTATTTAAGAACTTTTAATTGATAACAAATTTCAAATCTCTACAGTCTGACTGAATGCCAAAGGATAAAGGAAGCTCATAATCATGTTGATTGCATAGCCAATAAAACCCCCTTACAGGGTCCAAATGGTAAGCTAGAAATTGGTAATGAAAGCTTCTTTTGTGGGTTTAGGGATTAAATCCCTCCAACGTAAAGAGTGCATGATTGAACATTACATATAATAGTTGTATTCAGTTCTTGAAGAATTGTTCTTTATTGTATATAAGGATAGTTGTAATGATATCCGTTCACGTTTCGGGACCAATTAGTTAGATGCATGCAGTACCCTATATCCTCAAGGCAGAGCACAAGAAATCTGACACTTAAAGATTTACCAAGATCGGTAGCTTTTGCTCTGCATGAAGACCGAACCTAGAATCAACTTTGCATTTATGCCTATACTGCTGAAGAGAACCTGCTGAATGACAGGATTTGCACATAACTACAAGCATTTTATGGGAAATCCTGAGATCTCTGTTGCATAATTTTAGCAGAGTAGTTGGGTTTAGGGTTTAAAATTCTCGTAGTTGTGTGCAAATCCTATAATTCAGCGGGTTCTCTTCAACATGATATGCATAATTGCAAAGTTGACTCTAGGTTCAGTCTTCATGAAGAGCAAAAGCTACCGCTCTTGGCAAATCTTTAAGTGTTAGATTTCTTGTGCTCTGCCTCGAGGATATAGGGTACTACATGCATCTAACTAATTGGTCCCGAAACCTGAACAAATATCATTACAACTATCCTTATATACAATGAAGAATAATTCCTCAAGAACTGAATACATCTATTATATGTAATGTTCAATCATGCACTCCTTACGTTGGAGGGATTCAGTCCCTAAACCCTCAAAGGAAGCTTGTATTACCAATTCCTAGCTTACCATTTGGACCCCTAGGTTTTATTGGCTATGCAATCAACATGATTAACTAGGATAATCCCAGTTACAGAACTGATTCCGACCATAATTTGTGGGAGACTCTATTCTACAGATTGTTTGGCAAGGTTAAAGTATCGGACTATCCAAGTACCGGTTAAAAGTAAGTAATTACTGTATTGACACCCAATTTACGATTTCCTTTGCTTTACATCTTTCAAGTCCATTGTATATGTCTTTGTGTAAATCCAACATTCTGATAACCCTTTATGAGCTTTGTATAAGTAATAGTTAAATTTACAAGGTACACTGTAAAATTATACTTGTATAATGATAATATCATAAACTTTTATATATGTATCAATACTTTGTTATATCAGTCTCGATACTTTAATTCCACCTGAAGGCTATTACTTTTAAGTAATATTATATACGGGAGTCTCAAATGCACACAAAATATATCGATATATATATATATATATATATATATATATATATATTTCATACTTATAATTTCGAAACCTATTACTTTTAAGTAATAGGTTAATTGAAAATGAAAAATGGTTAAATTCATTCGGTATCATGAAAATATAAGTAAACAATGTACAAAGTTCTAAGGCTCCATCAGCTTTAACCACACACACATTATATATATATATATATATATATATATATATATATATATATATATATATATATATATATATATATATATATTATACTTATAATTTCAAAATCTATTACTTTAAAGTAATAGATTAATTTCCAATGAAAACAGTTAAAGTCAATCGGTATCATTATAATATGCCTAAACAATTACCATGCTGATAAATTTTGATAACAAATCAAGTGATTAACCGGTTATGTTATCTTGGGATTCCTAATGGCTCCATCAGTTTAAATTTTGTTAACATTTATTCCTAAGGTAAACTTATCATAACTGATAACAAATTAAGTAATTATCTATTTTGTTATCTTCGGATTTCTAAGGCCCCATTAACTTTAATAATGTGCAACCTATTACGTTACATAAGCGCTACCTAATATGTTATTATGCTTGATAATGTTTCTAGTAATTAACCGGTTATGTTATCCTTGGTAACATTTTAGGCGTTTACCTAATATGTTGTAATAACAGATTAAATAATTAACCTATTTTATTATATAAGCGCTACCTATTACGTTATATAAGCGCTACCTAATATGTTATTGTGCTTGATAATATTTTCAGTAATTAACCGGTAATGTTATCCTTGGTAACATTTTAGGTGTTTACCTAATATGTTGTAATAACAGATTAAGTAATTAACCTATTTTATTATATAAACGCTACCTATTACGTTATATAAGCGCTACCTAATATGTTACAATGCTTGATAATATTTCCAGTAATTAACCGGTAATGTTATCTTTGGTAACATTTTAGGCGTTTACCTAATACATTGTAAACAAATTAAGTAATTAACATATTTTATTATATAAGCGCTACCTATTACGTTATATAAGCGCTACCTAATATGTTATTGTTCTTGATAATATTAACGATAATTAACGGTTATGAAATTGTCTATATTTTTTTGACGCATTTTACACAGGACGATAACATAACTGGTTATTACCTTTTTTTATTACCAACTCAATTAATATTTCCGGTTAAATGATATAACATAACCGGTCTCGATTTTAACTGGTCACTTATTTAACCAATCACAACATAACTGGTCACTTATTTAACCAATCACATAATTTCAAGGTATTATTGTCCTAAAGAGAGAATTGTTTAATACTTAAATAAATAGAGGGAATGAGATTCTCGGGAAAATGATCCAAAAATTACTAATGCATGAAATACTATGGGAGGGAATGCTTTAAATTAAACGTGGGTATATAATTTCAAAAAATATTCTTTCTCTAATAATAATCTTTTCCATAACCCAATTGTCTCCTTAGTGGATCCGCCACTGTCGATTGATGTCAAGACTTTAAACACAATTTACGGGCAACTTGACTATGAATCTGTACAAGACAAGAAGCTGTTGCATTGACAAACGACCCTTCAAATTGTATGGAGCTCGACAAAACAAGTCTCAACTCTCAAATTCTAAAGAAACGAAAGCTATGGCCCTACAACAATCTCTTAGATCTTCTGATTACGAAGTTTGGCTGTCCGTTTGCTTAATCCAAGACAAGAAAGAAAGCGGTATCTAGCTAGCAAGACACCAGTTGAGGGCAATTAAGTGTAAAGGGCTCATTCAACTGAGTTGCATGTAGTGCCTTTTGAGAGATTGGGAGACTGAATTCTATGCCATGCCTCGTTTCCTTAGAGATGTTATAAAGGAAGTGAGGCTGACCATGTTACACCCAAGCATGCTTAGAGATGATTTGGATTAGATATCTGGGTGTGGGCTATTATTATCTCTTTGCTAGCTGCTACTCTGTTATCTCTTTCTTCCTACTGGATAACATCATAACATTGCTTCATGATTCTTGTGGGGACTTAGCCAGATTGGCCAACTGCCATTTAAGACCCCACCATCCCACATGCACTTGTTAATCTTCCCCTATTTGCCTTTTCACTTTCTTTCATTTATAACCCCTCCATATCATCCCCATGGCACGGATGATAGTTTTCAATATTTAGAAACTAAAGGTTTACTCTCTTGGTTTCTTGCCAAAAAACATGGAAGTGGCTGTTGAGCTTGAAGATGATCTGTTTTTTGCAGACTTAAGCGAGCGGATCTCTCTGCTAATCATGGATGATGAAGAGCCGGTTTCAAGATGTACTTCAGTTTATTTCCAGGTTTCTTTTTTAAGCTTTTCATTCACATCAAATAACATGTTATCTCCTCCAATTTCGGGTATTGAGTTTGTATTTGTCAAAAAAATTCAGACATTCTGTGGAGCAAATTATCCAATAACACAATCATCGCATCTCCAAGAGCAAATCTGCAGAAGAGAAAGCAAAGGCACAGGAGTTTTTATCCCAAAGGCATCACATCCAAGAAGGAAGCATAGGCAAGGCAAATACAGTTCATTCAACAGAAAGTCTAACAGTCAGCATGATAACACTACAAAAATGGCTTCTCAAGCATGTTTTAATCATTCTTTTTACCCTGGCAAAGGCTAAGGATAAACATCTTCCATCTTCATCAAGGGTAACTTAATAAAGGGAAATCACTACTAATCCTCTAGTCAACAACTGCCGATGGCATGTTAGGTGTACGGATCTTAATATTACATATACATATATAAATATATGTAGATTTATCATGGAAATGTATGGTGATTGTTGAATGTATTTGCTCTGATTCTTGTTTAAGGTGATTTAATATTATTTGTTACTGTTTTGAAATGTAGTGCACACCCTTGCCAACTTGGATAAGATGTATAAACAGATAACAGAGCCCACCCAAACATTCTAAATGAATTATTGAAGGCAAATAATGGAATTTGAAGTGTGGGTTCCCACACAATACACATTAGTTCCCCAACACCCAACTGCTTTTTGCTTGAGAAATGAAAGACCAGTGGGTTCACTTCAGTTTGAAAATACTCCATACTGTCTCTAGGCTGTAACTTGAAGATTTCCAGCTCTTTCAAACTAGCATTTGATGCCTTTTGGACTTTCTAGCTACGCAAGTATATATTTCATGTGGCATGTGGAGAACCAAGGTGTTTTTAAACGAGTGATTAAAAAATATTTGTTCAAAACTTTTAAGGAGAACAATATTTCATTTTACCATTGAAGCCACTTGATGGGTTTAATATCATGTTATTAAAACAATGGCTAATTAGAATGAATGCATAAAACTTTAAATTAAATGAATATGTAAGCTGGACTAGACAGATTTTTAGTTTATTTTCGGTTTTATTATAATTTATAATTTATTGCAATTAGTAAGATTGGAATATTTTTGTTTTATTTTTTCAGTAATTTATAATTAAATTAAGGTCTAAGGATAAAAAATCCTCACGATTTTTTTAAATCAATATATTGTTTGGTTTTACCCAATTCAGTGATAAATTTAACTTAGCTCAGGAGGTAGAGCTAGTTGATTCAAAATCCTCAGTTATTCACTTAAGGTAAAATTCGATGATGAATTTTCCACATAATTTTCTCGACGTTCGATGATCTGAAAATAATTTCTAGTGGTTATTTGATTGTTTTAAGCCTTTGAATGTGGGTCGAATGGAGATAGTTTAGTTCGGTTAAATTATGATTTGATTCAGTTTCCAATTAAGGACTAGTTTGTAAAGTTCAAAAGTTTAGGTGTTAAGGTGTGAATATTACAAGTTGAACAAGATATCCTTAGTCGCTAACCTATGATGCAACTATGGTTTGTATTTTCTGCAGAGATTCATAAACAGAAGCCAACCAAAACTCAGCAATGATGAGCAGCAAAATCTAACTAGATGGGCAGTAAGTTACTCAACTTATCCCTTCATCTTTTTTATCATGGTTTGTATTGTCCTCTTTTTTTTTTATCAATTTGATTGCCATTACCTTGAATCTTGATAATCAATTTATGTGCCCCAAAATGATTGCAAAAGGATAACAATTAAGATCAACTTCAATCCTGTTTATTGTGCATTAATATCAAAGATACAAGGAGTAAATTACACAATTCTTTAGTACATAGACTAAATAACACTTCTGTACTTCAACCAACATGATGCTACTAACACAGCTTGCTAGTGGCAGATGCTGAAAACTTGCAAAAGTAGAACGATTTCCGAAACTCGGATAGTCACAAGAAGAATGAAGCTCATAATATCCTGAACTAGGTTATGAGTTCAGGCTGAAAGCAGATGGGATTTAAGTTTCAGGTCCTCCCCATGAAGCTAGTGACCGATTCCTCCATTATAAGTAGCAATCATTGCAACAAGAATGCATATATCTAGAAAGTAAGATATTAACCAGAGATGGAAATGAAAGGGCAGTCAAGCCTTTTATCAGTTTATAGATAATATTTTAATCTTAAGCCTCAATCATCAGGAAAAAAAAAAAACTTATTCAAAGCTAGAGAGATTGTTTTTAGACACATGAGGGGTAGCCAAATCTAGAATCATGTGTGATGACCTGAGGAAAAGAAAGACATGAAGCTTTCCGGAACTACATTCGGCCATTCATGGAAATCATATCCCTTAACCGTAGTGCTTCTGTTTCCAAGGTATCAAAACTAATGGAATTTGGTATCCCCCAACTCCAGTTTCCATAATGCACAACAGAAGATCCGTAGCTCTATAACTCATCATGATTTTTGTCGAAGTCAATATAAAATTGCATGCAAAACAATACAACATGCCCAAAAAGAGAAGAAAAATGAACTTTGGATCAAGTTAAAACAATGAAGATTCTGAAATGTGTAATCAGAGTTCAAATTAACCAGCCACAAGGGGAAAGATTTTCCACATCATCCACCTAATCCTCGGCAGGGCCTTGAAATTTAAACCACGACTAATGCTCTATTACGTTGTTCTAGATGCATGAACCTTAATTACCTCATGCTACAGCACATTGTCATACTCGCACGTTTGAAGAAATTATATTTACCTGTGTTGCAGGAATGTTCATCCTGGCAGAGCCGTCTAGCCCAAGAACATCCTGCATGGTTATGACAGCAGTTTGAGCTATTGAAGCAACTGCAGCCTGGATCAGTGCCCATGAGATCTCATCTTTTTCAGTGATATTCAGATATTTCAATACCTGGGACGAATTTCTGATGTAACAAATACAAGATGATAAATCTGATCAGAAGCCTTAGAATAACAAAGTAAACTCATATTAGACCTCTCTTGTTCCATCAAATTGCTCCACCAACCTTGAATCTATGAGACAATCAAAAGAACTATAAGTATGCAACATCTAAGGATTTGGTAAAACAATTTTCCGTCAAACCAAACAACAAAATGCATTTAGCTCGAATATATGACTAGTGTCATATCAAATTTCGTACCTCATCCCTCTCTTTCATTCTTTATCCCTACTCTTCTTCATATTATTATATTCTTAGATTGAGAAAATTTCATATATTTAGATGTTTGTTTCAGATATTAGTATTCTAACATGGGTGATTCCCTTACTAACATTGTTTTATTTAATATTATTTTTTTAAAAAATATTTTTGCTGAAAATTGAAATGAACCGGTCCTTGCATATCTTCTTGAGTTTTGCCTCACTGGTTTTGTTTTCAACGGTTTTTGTGATTTCCATCATTCCATGTCTTAAATGCTGTCCTTGTTTTTGTTCCAAATTGAATTTGATTAATGAAAGTTTGTTCAGATGGAATATAGTTCCCAAAAGCACCTATCATTCCCAGCATGCAGCATTCCAACTTTCATGCATCCATGATACTGAAAATAAAGTAAGACAACAACGATGAATCTTGAAGGAGCTTTACCGTGTCATTGTCATGAGTTCCAGTGTACACAACTTGATTCGACTCGTGATTGTGAGGCATATGAGGGTTTCTAGAGTCGCTACCAAAAACTAGAGCAAGAGAAAACGGGACAAAACTACAATATCACAGAATGCCAAAGTAAAGACCATCAGCCAAAAATGAGAATTTAAAAATATGGTATCACAGTTGATTAGTGGAAACATCTTACCAAACTGGAGAACAGCCATTCCAGGTGCTCCAATATATTTCCTAAGCTGAACCACATCCTCGGTTATAACTCCCTGCCATGTCACACCTAGTAAGATGAAAGAACTAGAGTCAAACAATACGTTCTTCCGGACCCCAAAAATCTTCAGCATCGTTGCTAAATATATTATTAATTCAGGAAACAAAAGTTCAGAAAAATAAACAAGGGAAACAGACAGAAACAAGCAGCACAAGGACACCAACGATTTATTTAGTGGTGCATGCAATGCAGGAATTAGAAGAAACATAAGTTCAGTTTTATAATTAATTACTTATCTAAAATGGTGCTCAGTTATTACGACTATGCTTTATCCAGATTAGTATTGATTCTCGTTCATATTTTAATTTAATCTAACATCTAGGCTTACAGACAAAAACACAATGCCAAAATAGAATTACAAGCACAAAAATGCGCAACTTGTGTACCACCATGCACAATCAACTAAATTATCAGTGCAACACATACTGTACACTGAACTAACTCAGGCATTCGCTCACTTGATCTTCAGCTATAATAAGCAACAATATTGAACTACGCCAAAGTAGCTGAAATATCCCCAGAAGACAAAACTTCTATAATTGGCAGCTCAAGGTTATTGAAAATTATCTATTTTCCACTTTCCTTGGAGAAAGAAATTAGCAAATAAAGCTACATCAAGAAACAGAATGAAAAATGATAAAAATAAGTTCATATTCTATCAAGCAGAATGTACCAGATCTTCAGCTATGATACTGATATTTCCAACTGCTCTGAAGATCTCATCAAATAAGGATTTTTGAGGACCAACCTACTATCAAGGAAATTACATCAGTTGTGGGAAATGGAACAGTTGAAGAAAATTTACAGTCAGAATCAGAAAATCCGACCTCCATCGTCCAACCATAGCAACCTTTGCTTCTGCAGAGATTTATTGTGTCAGTAACTTGGTTTCCGTGTATCACATTTCTAGTAAGCACCATTCGATCAGTTTACAACTCACCAGAAGGGACAGCCCAAAAGCCAGCAAATCCTCTAAAGTGATCAATCCAGAATTCATCATATAGATTCTGCGCACGTCTAATGCGATGTATCCACCATAAAAATCCATCATTCTCCATGGCCTGCCAATCATATAGAGGGCTGAAATAAAGGATACCTTAATTAAAGATGACTAGTGCAGAAAAAACCTAGCATAAAATGTTAAATTGCAAACTTACCCTACAAGAAAGTAAGAGCTGAATATCAGGATAAGCAAAACATCATATATAGGTTCACATGCTATGACTAAAACAAATTTGTGTGAGTTTAACCATCAAGAAGTATTGAATAAAGGACCCATAACCTTGTTAGAAAATAAAAAATACAAGCATAGCAATAAAAGAACAGGGGAGGAAATGTATAGAAAAAAGATATAGAACACTCTTCAGGAGCATAAATTGGATTTGTAACGTATCTCCAAAATGAATGAACATGAAACAATACCTCGCTTTTACTAGCACATGTAATAATATTTATGAAAAATAGATTGTTTATATAACAGGCATGTGAACTTGTTTTTGGTCAGTACAAACCTCCCCCACAGCTGACCAG